ACTACAAAATTCGTCTTTTTGACACATGTCTCCATTAACATCCATTTTATATTACGCAACGTTTGTCAGTACTTACCAATACTCACCACACCCCTACTAGCTACAATTGTGATTACTCATGACATTTTGAAACATTTTGATGGCGTAAACAGTAAACAGTAACCCTAACTAATTTTTATTTTATTTGGACAATCCTAATGTACACAAACGCAAAAAGTATACATAAATACGATCGTACGTCTAAGTGAATGAATTCGCCGCCAAAAAATACTCTACGCTAAACTTTGTTTTTCCTTATATATTCATGTCTAGATGGGTATTTTCCATGAATATTACCAATTGCCTCTCATCGTTGATTCTTCACATCCCAAGGATTCCAATCAGGCAGTCTACACTTTCCTACGTGGCTTAAAACTAACTGTCAAACTTTTTAATGAACTAACCGACAATATGTAGCTTAGAACAAGTACAACGTTTAGCTAAAATTCATAAGCAGATAAGTAGATTTAGTAAGATTATTAATTCGCGAAAAATTATTAAGCTACATGAATTTCCATTTGAGTCATTCGCTGGAATACAATAAAATTTACTTTATAGTTCAACAAATATCCTCAGTAAATAAGCATACCAATTTCGAATGTGAAAACATTTATGTGCAATAAACGTCAGTCAAATTAATTAGCATTGTGTTTGAACATTGAACATTGAATTACAAGTAATTTAAACAAACTAACTAGCTAACTCTTTCCACTGTGCAAAACAGAAAAACCAGAAATAATTAAAACGAGTAGTAGCTTAGTAATATCAAACCATAGAAGATACTAAAAAGATGGTGTCAGAGAAGGGAATTTACTTTTCGACGAAGTGATCAACATTCGTGCATTTATAGTAAATGGGTGAGAATAATGTAGGACTATTTGTGGTCAGGGGGTTAAAATTATAGCAATAACAAAATATAGAAAAAATCCCCATGTAGACATTTAGAAAACAGAAGGAATGAGCGGAGAAATATTTACTTTTCAATTAGATCCATATCTCACTGCGGCTCTACTGTAATACATATAGCATGTCTTATTACAATACACAACAATTTACCAATCAAGTGGCGATGTGTTTATTAACAATAATTAGTCAGTGTCAACATGTTAATGGGGTGATAATTGACGAAGAAAATTAATACACACACAATTAGAAGGTAGAAATGGTTACAACACGTGGATTGCATAATGCATAATTTTGGAAAAATGAAGAGTGATTAAGGAATAAGTGTGTGTACATGTTGATTACGCAACAGATTCCTAAAGGAAAACAAAACGATATTTTTTATTACAGCTCGATTCCACACTGTATTCTTAGTACAAGTATGGAATTTTCAGCATGTGATATCAGTAGCCCAAATTTCGCAGGTCGACCACTGATATCAGGTGTGCGTCGGCAGGGGAAGGAAGCCCGGATCATGTGCATGGTCAACGAGAGTCCTAACCACTGTGCCATCGACGCAGCGGTAACATGTAACCAAAAGTGAAGTAGTCTGAAAAATAATAAAATAACTTGGACAATTACAGCAAAGCTTTACCACACCTTGTACATAGCGAGCACAAGATTGACGTTAATACAGCTTTGAAAATTATTTATCGCATTCTTACTAATCTTAATTTCGATTTACGAGTTCGTCTTCTGAATGCGGCTGGAGCAATAGGAATCCACCTGAAGAAGCCAAACCTGTGTGTTCAGAAGAAGTGTGTACAGCCACTTTCCTCACGTTGGCCATCGCTGCATGGATGTATAAACCGGACTACTTCACCTCCCTCTCCTTAAAACTTCTAAAAATAATAATTGTCCGAATATTATTTTATTACTCTTCTGACCACTTCATCTTTACTTACAAGTTGTCATTGTCCAAATCGTTTTATTTGTCTTTAACAATCTTCTACGTGATCAACCTGTGAACACGCTTATTCCTTAATATTTTCTTATGCTTGCTAGTGACTTGCTACAGGGTGGAATTTCCTGGAATTCTAGTGAGGAGTCGTGACCAGTGAGGTCCATCCAGTCACAATTGAGGATGGATGTCCCACTGATGATGACATTGGTTGGGGTCACGCTAAATCACGAATTGGTAGAAGGTAGAATTTATACGGTGACCATTGAGTTGTATTCCAGTCGCTGAATGGTATACGAGGTTTCCAGGTAACTGGAAGGTCATGGAATCGAACTCCACTGTGGTGGGTACGTACTGCTGATGATTCCCAGACTTGTTGGTTTTCAATGGTTTTCAAACTGATATCAGTCCGTGGTCTAACTTGAATAAACAAATCTCATCCCTATAAACCAACTCTTGATATCTCACTCTTTGCAATATCAAATACATAAAACAGAAATATTTAAAACGCGTGTTAGTTTAGATAACTTAGGGAATCATTCTAACTTATATTTCACCTATATCAAATCATGGGAGATACGTAAAAGATGGCTGCAGAGAAGCAAATTTACTTTTCAACGAAGTGATCAACATTCGTGTGTTTATAGTAAATGAGTGAGAAAGTTCTAGAATCATTTTCGGCCAGGAATCAGATTAAGAAGATTGCAAATAGGAATTAAAAATGTAGTGATAAAGAAACTGACAGAGAGTTTGGATAAGAACGGCAATGTTATAACCGCTATTGAGGAAAATTGACGAAAGACGTGCAAGTCGCCCCCAAGAAGAAGATTCTGCTCAACCTAGAATTTCAAAGTGATATTGAAGCAGAAATTCTCCATAAACGGCTTTGGAAAATTCTCAGTAAAATATACTTTTCTGACAGCCCACCAGTAGCATTTTGTTTCAAGAAACCACTCAATCAGCATATGAAAGACACCTTGTTACACTGGGTCACTTCATCATGCATAGGCTAGTTGATTTGCTTCAAACATCCTGCTTGTTTCTGTTATATCCACGTTTTTTTAATCGCCAATCGCACTGCTATGTTTATTTTTATTCAAAATTCGGTATACTCTGTTTGAACGGAATTCTCAATCGCTAATTACTCAAAAAGTCGATCTTACCAGTGATTATGATCTTGCTACCTATTTATATCCAACATTCCTGATCATTGTCACACTTTAAGCCTTACCTGCAATTTTAGTAATCTGACCATAAATAGTTCTGCGAATTTCTCACCATATTTACTGTAAACACACGAATGTATAGCCCAGTGGACAATTTCGTTGAAAAGAAAGTTTTCTTCACTGCAACCATCAATCCAATATCGCCTATGATCTCATGTGTATATTCCGGGAACTTTCATCAGCTGGTTTTCTATTAGGATGGTAATGTCTGTCTCTCCAGATAACTCTGTGAACCTGGTGTTACGTTTCAAGTGAAAGTATCTTAGTTCCCTCTTTTGGAATACTTTTATACTGAAAGTGTTATTACATACTACTGAGGAGTAAGGTAAATAAACACTTCGAGGTATGATGGTGCATTTATGGAAGCATGATGTTTTCATTTAATACTTCTTGAAAGCGTTATTAGAAGACGGAGGTTATCTGAAAAATGTGATGTATTGGCGCTATACATTTCAATCAATCTGATCCCTCACACATTTACTTGTCAAGTTGATGTATGTGAAACAAAATTAAGGGCAATTAAGTTAAACAAAGTGACAAAAAAGATTTAAGAATAATTAGAGAGAAGAGAACACGAAGTTCAGCAAAGATGTTGGTCCTTTTGGCGATTTCATTTTCAAAAGCTGAATGTATGTACTATTGCAATGCCTCGGGGATAAAATAGTATACAGATTTAATAATGTCATCTTGTCCTATTTAGAAAATGTCTTCTTCTTTATCTAAAAATGACTCAACCTACAGTTTCCTCACCTACTTTCGCTACCTTTTAGAGACAAATTTTCTGTGGTTACGTAACCAATTATTTATTATATTCCTTCTTGTTGAAATCTCAAGTGTTGGTTTTCAGGGATTTTTTTGCTTTCAGGATTTTATTATGAACTGATATCGGCTAGAGAACCATTGGAATCCCGACAGGGAATATTGGACAGTTGTTTCATCCTAGTTTGAGACTCTTCAGCAGTACGCATCCATCGCCAGTTTTCGGACCTTAGACCTTCTGGTTAAAAGGCTAACTCGTAGACCATTAAGCCACTTTGACCCTATCCAATGGCTACCCCATGAATTCCAACTATGGCCAATACACGATATAGAGTAACCACTAGTCAATGTGTTCAGCGAGTATTTGTCCTCACACCCGACCTTTTGTATCCCACAGGTCACGAATTCCCACTAGAAACCAGGTTACCATCTACCTGAGTAGTACCAGTTCCTAGTGTGCATCAGATTAATAGTGAAGTGTTGGTTTGCAGGATTTCATCATGAACTTAAATCGGTTAGAATTTGTTAATACTTAGAAAAAAATATTTGTTGAACTCTGTTATTTTTGCTTCCAAGTTTATTCGTCTAGTTATTCTATAAATAGTCAATCTTTTTCACTCTTAATTATTTAACAATTAGTCCCAGTTCCTACCAAATACTCCTGGTCATTGTGGAAAATACACTGAAAGCTTTATTATAGTTAATCCTTTTGTATTGTTCAGGTTGTAGCCAGCTATCCGGGAAGAATTCTCGGGAGCTAATGAAAGATGAGCTCATTTAATCCCAGTACATTTTTCCTTCTTGCCTTATTCAATATAATTAATTTGTTTAAAATGATATCTGTGTGTATAATCAAGCAATAAAGAAGAAGTAATATGTGTGGTTAAATCCTATTGGATAAATATGTGGGATAGGTTGAGTGGAAGAAACGAGTCACGAAAATCTCAACCAATTGGCAAACAGGATAAAATTATATTGGTTAGAATATAACAAATCAACTGTGTCTGTGATTTATAACTCTAAATATTTATCACTGGTGTAATAAACTTGATTAGATCTTAGAAAAATATTACAAGTGGATAATAAAACACTGGCTTGTCATATTCATCACATCATTACACCACATTAAATCAATGCATTCACCAGGATATAGTTTTTTAATTTTACACAGTTGTCTTCTAGTCATTGATAGCTTTGTAAATTCCAGTGAACACATATCCTCCACCTTAGCAATTCCATCAATGATGTTGTCATCAAGTCGAGAGACAGAAAGTGAAGAAATGAATGAATTTATTAAAAATTATACAACTGTACACAATGATGATAGGATAACTATTGAACATCTTATATCACAGTTTATTGATCTACACCAGTTGAATGCATTAGACAGAGAACAAAGCTCTAATGATGACAATAACAGAAATACTAACAATGTTATATCATTAGTGAATCGTGGATTATTATGTCGAAAATTATTAACTGAATCGTTAAAAAATGATTCAAGTAAAGAAGAAAGCTTTTTTAAACTGTTGAACATTGAACATAGCCAGCTGAATGATTCAACAATGAAACAAAATAAGACAACAACAATGCTGATTAATCATTTATGCTTTCTTGAGAGTAGTCAATACTTTGGACAATATTATTTTACTCAATGGTCTAATTCTACAGAAAGATATTTATTGAAAACTATTCTAAAGGATACCTTGATTCCATTGATAAATTTTTTAAATATTCTAACAATGATTTGTTTAAATTGTCCAGTTTATAGTATACTTAGTCGTAAGAATAAACAAATCTCTGTGTGGTTTTTATTAGCGGCCTATTCAATTTTAAAGACGCTGCATATATTTATATCAGATTTACCTAAATTAATAGTCAATTTATTAATACTGTATAGTAAGTATATGACAGAGCAGACAGACTTAAACAGAGATACTACTAGTACGCAAAAGAATGTAGGCAGTGGCAATGTGAGCAGTTATCAAACAGCCAGTATTGCTACTGTTAGCGGTAAACTGAAAAATTTCATGGATTACAAAATTTAGGCCTTATTCCATGCTCAATATTTACATTTTTAGAATGTGTCCTTGAGTATACACCCAATTGGATTATGGTGATTTTAGTTTGGGAACAAATTGTGCGATTTATTGTTATAAAACGGAATTCTTCAAATCCATCAACAAATGAAACTTACTGTCCCTTGTATGCATATCATGTGGATAGAAAATGTAGACAGAAGTCAAGTGTGAGTTTTAATTCACAAATAACTCAACAATCAAATGATTTTATGTATCGTATTAGAGCGGATAAGTGTCAAGAATGTGTTAGTGATGAAATAATCGAAGGGGTTTTGTCGACAACATCTCAACAACAACAACAACAGCAACAACAGTGTGATGAAAGCTATTCACAGTCGGTCACACTGAATAATGTATGTAACAAGGGAAAGTTATCAAATTGTAACGCAAATTTTAAAGTAACGCATTACAGCAATAGCCATTATCAGACGCATACCAATGTGAACACAGACTCTGTGATAGGTAAGTGTGATATATTATGTACTTTTTGTCATTTATTAAGGAAATTACGTGTTAGTAAAATATTTAAAGTATGGTTGCAGAGAAGAAAAATTTGCTTTTCAGTGGGGTCATCAGCTAGGCTGTACATTCGTGCGTTTTATAATAAATATATGAGTAAGTTGCAGTTCTTTACGACGTCTGAATTCTATTAATTGAGGAAATCTTCTAGTTCGACTCCTCTTAGAAACATTATGGAAATGTGAATCATGTCCGAAAAATAATTCCCAAAAGAATAATTAACTTGAAAAGACATTTGAAAATATGATTACAGAGTATTCGCTAGAAGACTTCTTTCATTGTCTGAAATATTTCTACAGATATTTCAAAACACTTTAACAGATAACTTCAGATATCACGTTGTAAAAGAAATGCACAATTCGCAAATTAATTCGCGATTTGGAATTCACACAGTCTGAGTTGAAATATCACAATAGTTCCCTTTGAAAACTGAAATTCTTTACATTATTTTATGTGATGTGCTGGATACCATAAATAGCAGTCAAGTAGCTAGCCAGAATTCAGGTGTCTTCAGTTGATTCGACACTCTGAGCTGAGCCAAGCCAAACACACTACTGATGAGCACGAGCAAAATGGCCATCTGGTGTTGAGATCATTTCGACCTGGCTAGAAAGCACTACTGGTTGATTTGAGTACTGTCTGAAATTTCAGTAGTGTACAACAACATGCTTTGAAAAAAGTAAAGGTACCTAACAATTCACTATGTATCTTTTATGATGAATCATTTTATCTTACTGTTACTAATGTGACAACTTATCGAGAAATTAAAAGTTAAATAGGTAGATATAACTCTGTACAAAATCACATAAATCTAACATGCCAGGGAGAAAGTCGTGCCCAGCTTGGATTTTCAGACTACACTTCTGAGTCTAAGAGATGATGGTTCAATAAGACGGTCTATCTACAGAAAGCCCACCCGGACAGGACAATACTTTAATTTTACACAGCTTCTGTCCATTACAGTATAACAGAGGCTTGGTGAAATGCTCATTTAAGAGGATTCAGCATATTTTCACGGCTGATTTTATAGACAAAGAAAACGAAATATTGATGGATACTCTTGTTGAAAACGGATAGCATTTAAAAATTTTTATACAGGTGTAGAAGTCAACTAGTCTCTAAACCTACAATCCATACCGCCCCTAAGAAAAAGGTTTTCATCAAATTACCGTATAACGGGGAAATAAATAGTAGGATTTTGAGACAAAGGTTGAATTCGATCATCCGTAGAACCTACTATGCAATCCAGCTTGTAATTGTCGAAAAAGCCAAAAATATGCTCCACTGCAGACCTCAAAAGTGCACAAGTAATTATGTCACATCTCACACTATTTACCAGTAATCGTGCTTTGTATGTGGGGTTGCAGGAGAATATATCCCGAAATGGTTAGAAAGACAATTGAATTGTGGAAAATCAACAAACGCAGGTGTCAAACTACCAACTTCGTCTATAGCTAAACATCTAATCCAGAAAAACCATAGGACTGATGTTAACACAGCCTTTAAGGTCATGTGAAAAGGGCTCTTATTAAAATACACCTAAGCTATAGCTACTCACAATCTTAAACCACCCTCGTGTTTATTTCAAAGCAGTTTATTACTACTCTTAACCTACCTTGGTAATCCTTATTTGATTGGATTAGCAAACTTTGAGTTAATTATTCTTAAAATCGTCGAAAACACCCATAAGGACATTAGAACGAAGTTCAGCAAAGATGTTGGTCCTTTTGGCGATTTCATTTTCAAAGGCTGTACAATCGCATTTAAATACATAATTTAACACAGATACAATCTTTTTACTTGGTTCCACATAACTATGAAAGTGTGACAATTATTTTCGACTAGATAGGGTTTACGAGAGGCTCAGAAACAAAACTACACAGGATGCGGACGGATAACAAGTGTGTAAAAATGAGAAAGGAAACAGAATTGGAATGATAATTTTCAACTTAAAATGGGAGTTAGGAGGTGCGAATATAGATTGCAAGAGCCTTAGAAACGCAAAAATTGCACAGGAAAAGTATTGAAGCAATCTTAAAATAACTGTTTTTATAACTGAAAAAATGGGTTGAATCGAATAAAGACAGAGGGAGTAGGAATCACACACACACAGAACGAAACATGATCAATAAAAAAGAGAACGGAAAAAGAAAAGAAACGGAAGATAAGGGAACATACCGAAATAGGTCTATGGTGTTTGTAGAGATTGGACTAATTTCTTTTGAATACACAGCTCCGGCTTCTCGATGCATATTGTGAGGGCTTCTGCAGTACAGAGAAGTTGGAAATGAACCGCTTTTGATAGCTTTCTGTTGACTTTGTAAATTAGCTTGAAAGAATCAGTTGAGATGTTGTGGGAGGTATTTATCATGTGTTCAATAATGGCAGTTCTGATTGAACCGGTGCCTCCTCTTTGCAGCCACGCTGGGTGATGTTCTTTAACACTATTTGAAAGGACGCGCATACGACGATCTATGTACCTAGCTCTGCACGAGCAGGTGAACTGGTACATGCACATTGAGTTGATCATATGCTCCCTAACTTCCACCTCAAGTTGAAAATTATTATTCCAATTCTGTTTCCTTTCTCATTTTACACACTTGTTATCCGTCCTCATCCTGTATAGTTTTGTTTCTGAGCCTCTCGTAAACCCTATCTAGTCGAAAATAATTGTCACACTTTATTCGCTTTCATAGTTATGTGGAACCAAGTAAAAAGATTGTATCTGTGTTAAATTATGTATTTAAATGCGATTGTACAGCCTTTGAAAATGAAATCGCCAAAAGGACCAACATCTTTGCTGAACTTCGTCTTCTCTTCTCTCTAATTATTCTTAAATCTTTTTTGTCACTTTGTTTAACTTAATTGCCCTTAATTTTGTTTCACATACATCAACTTGACAAGTAAATGTGTGAGGGATCAGATTGATTGAAATGTATAGCGCCAATACATCACATTTTTCAGATAACCTCCGTCTTCTAATAACGCTTTCAAGAAGTATTAAATGAAAACATCATGCTTCCATAAATGCACCATCATACCTCGAAGTGTTTATTTACCTTACCCCTCAGTAGTATGTAATAACACTTTCAGTATAAAAGTATTCCAAAAAAGGGAACTAAGATACTTTCACTTGAAACGTAACACCAGGTTCACAGAGTTATCTGGAGAGACAGACATTACCATCCTAATAGAAAACCAGCTGATGAAAGTTCCCGGAATATACACATGAGATCATAGGCGATATTGGAATGATGGTTGCAGTGAAGAAAACTTTCTTTTCAACGAAATTGTCCACTGGGCTATACATTCGTGTGTTTACAGTAAATATGGTGAGAATTTCTCAGAACTATTTATGGTCAGATTACTAAAATTGCAGGTAAGGCTTAAAGTGTGACAATGATCAGGAATGTTGGATATAAATAGGTAGCAAGATCATAATCACTGATAAGATCGACTTTTTGAGTAATTAGCGATTGAGAATTCCGTTCTAACAGAGTATACCGAATTTTGTATAAAAATAAACATAGCAGTGCGAATGGGGATTAAAAAACGTGGATATAACAGAAACAAGCAGGATGTTTGAAGCAAATAAACTAGCCTATGCATGATGAAGTGACCCAGTGCAACAGGGTGTCTTTCGTATGCTGATTGAATGGTTTCTTGAAACAAAATGCTACTGGTGGGCTGTCAGAAAAGTATATTTTACTGAGAATTTTCCAAAGCCGTTTATGGAGAATTTCTGCTTCAATATCACTTTGAAATTCTAGGTTGAGCAGAATCTTCTTCTTGGGGGCGACTTGCACGTCTTTCGTCAATTTTCCTCAATAGTGGTTATAACATTGCCGTTCTTATCCAAACTTTCTGTCAGTTTCGTTATCACTACATTTTTAATTCCTATTTGCAATCTTCTTAATCTGATTCCTGGCCGAAAATGATTCTAGAACTTTCTCTCTCATTTACTATAAACACACGAATGTTGATCACTTCGTTGAAAAGTAAATTTGCTTCTCTGCAGCCATCTTTTAAGTATCTTCCATGATTTGATGTAGGTGAAATATAAGTTAGAATGATTCCGTGACTTAACTAAACTAATACTCGTTTTAAATATTTCTGTTTTATGTATTTGATATTGCAAAGAGTGAGATATCAAGAGTTGGTTTATAGGGATGAGATTTGTTTATTCAAGTTAGACCACGGACTGATATCAGTTTGAAAACCATTGAAAACCAACAAGTCTGGGAATCATCAGCAGTACGTACCCACCACAGTGGAGTTCGATTCCATGACCTTCCAGTTCCACTGGAAACCTCGTATACCATTCAGCGACTGGAATACAACTCAATGGTCACCGTATAAATTCTACCTTCTACCAATTCGTGATTCAGCGTGACCCCAACCAATGTCATCATCAGTGGGACATCCATCCTCAATTGTGACTGGATGGACCTCACTGGTCACGACTCCTCACTAGAATTCCAGGAAATTCCACCCTGTAGCAAGTCACTAGCAAGCATAAGAAAATATTAAGGAATAAGCGTGTTCACAGGTTGATCACGTAGAAGATTGTTAAAGACAAATAAAACGATTTGGACAATGACAACTTGTAAGTAAAGATGAAGTGGTCAGAAGAGTAATAAAATAATATTCGGACAATTATTATTTTTAGAAGTTTTAAGGAGAGGGAGGTGAAGTAGTCCGGTTTATACATCCATGCAGCGATGGCCAACGTGAGGAAAGTGGCTGTACACACTTCTTCTGAACACACAGGTTTGGCTTCTTCAGGTGGATTCCTATTGCTCCAGCCGCATTCAGAAGACGAACTCGGAAATCGAAATTAAGATTAGTAAGAATGCGATAAATAATTTTCAAAGCTGTATTAACGTCAATCTTGTGCTCGCTATGTACAAGGTGTGGTAAAGCTTTGCTGTAATTGTCCAAGT